GGATGTGGCAGCCACTGTAAGATGCCCCCAGGCCCCAGGCTGAGGGCCGTGAGGCTCTGGCTGCCGAGACTGCTGTGTCAGCTCCTACAGGGACTGCAGAGAACGTCCCTAGCCACCATCTCTCCTTCTCCCTGGGTCGTGACTGACAGACGACCGCATACAGGCCTGGCCATCAAGCCCAACTCCAGGCAACTCCAAACTGCTACTCCGGCTTCCCAAGTCTCCGTGGCGTGACGGCTGGGCCGGTGAGGCAGCTCGGTTCTGTCCAGAGCACAGACCCAGGAGCATGCTTCTCTGAACCCCCTGGCCAGAGAACCCAGCTGCTGACTCCGCCGTGGAACTGAAGGCCCTGTCCAGCTTCAAGTGTCCCCGAACGTCCCTGCACAGAAGTGTTACGTGCACGCTAAGACGCAGCAGGGGCACAACTCGCAAGTAACCGCAAAGCTAAGGCAGTGTGGTCCCAGCACACTCTACCTTTGGCTCTGCGGCTGAACCAGAATCCACGTCTCACTCCAGGGAACCCCAACGTGCACACTGCAGAACAGAGCCACCTTCAGGCAACAGCATGCCCTTATAATCACCACTAATTTTCAATCCACTTCTGTTAAGAATACTAGCTAAGTCCTTCAAAATGTCTAGAACTGTGCCATCCAGATGGTAACCACTAGTGGCTATTTAAATTCATGAAATTTAAAATTCAGTTGTTCAGTGGCATAGCCACACTTCAAGTGCTAAGCACACCTGGGACTACAGTGTGGCCCAGCAGCGGGGCTGACACGTGTACAGCCAGCACCCTGTATCGGGGCGGCAGCCTGAACCCCAGCCGCTCTGCTTCTCATCCAGCTCCCGGCTAGTGCACGAGAGAGCAGGTAACGCCCCCAGTGCTCGGGCCCCCGAACTCACGTGGGAGACCCGGATGGAGTTTTGATTCCCGCCTTCAGCCTGGCCCAGCCCCAGCTAGTTGGAGAGTGAACCAGAAGATGGAAGATCTCTCTCCATCTCTTTCAAATCAATTAAAAAAAAAAAAGTCACACATGGTCAGAGGATACTGACTACAGCACAGGGAACACCTCCATCATGCAAGCTCTCTGGACAGGGGTGGCCTGAGACACGGGGATCTGGGGATAGGGGTGGCCTGAGACACGGGGATCTGGGGACAGGGGTGGTCTGAGAGAGGGAGATCTGGGGACAGGGGTGGCCTGAGACACGGGGATCTGGGGACAGGGGTGGTCTGAGAGAGGGAGATCTGGGGACAGGGGTGGTCTGAGAGAGGGGGATCTGGGGACAGGGGTGGTCTGAGAGAGGGAGATCTGGGGACAGGGGTGGTCTGAGAGAGGGGGATCTGGGGACAGGGGTGGTCTGAGAGAGGGGGATCTGGGGACAGGGGTGGTCTGAGAGAGGGAGATCTGGGGACAGGGGTGGTCTGAGAGAGGGGGATCTGGGGACAGGGGTGGTCTGAGAGAGGGAGATCTGGGGACAGGGGTGGTCTGAGACACGGGGATCTGGGGACAGGGGTGGCCTGAGACACGGGGATCTGGGGACAGGGGTGGTCTAGAGAGGGAGATCTGGGGACAGGGGTGGTCTGAGAGAGGGAGATCTGGGGACAGGGGTGGTCTGAGACACGGGGATCTGGGGACAGGGGTGGTCTGAGAGAGGGAGATCTGGGGACAGGGGTGGTCTGAGAGAGGGAGATCTGGGGACAGGGGTGGTCTGAGAGAGGGGGATCTGGGGACAGGGGTGGTCTGAGAGAGGGAGATCTGGGGACAGGGGTGGTCTGAGAGAGGGGGATCTGGGGACAGGGGTGGTCTGAGAGAGGGAGATCTGGGGACAGGGGTGGTCTGAGAGAGGGGGATCTGGGGACAGGGGAGTACGCGTCACAGTTCTACAGAAATACCGACCACCAACTATTTACACTTGCGCTCCCTCCACACTCCACATGACAGGGCCGCTGAGCTGAACAAACGCCTTGGCCGGCCTGCCCTCCCACCACCGTCACTCACCCTTCCAGCGTGATGAGCAGGTAAGGTCAGCTCCAGCCTGGCCGCCTCTCCCAGAGCTGACCAGACACGTGACATCTCTGCCTGTCGTGCTGGATTCAGTCACAGAATCCAAACGAGTGTGACGGGCAAGGTCTCCGCCACCTTCTCAAATGCAGCACCAGACCGCTCCCCAGCACAGCGCCCAGGAAGCACAGAAGCAGAACCAATGTGTGTCTGAGGGGGAAGGTGGGAGACTCCCCGTCTTTCCAGCAGTCGATCTAATGGCTACACAACCTACAGCCACGTCAGCCACCACCATCACTCCGGCTTGAGGCCAAAGGGGTATTGTCTAATGGACAGGGACTCTGCTTCACCCCAACTCCTCTGGCACACCTAGCTCTGAAGAAAAGAGAAGTCTGGGGAACTGAGTCCCAGCTAATATGGGCAGCTTGCCCTCAACCTCACCTCCTGTTGCAGAATGAATTATGTCTCCCCAGAAAGACATGTTCCAATTCTAACTTTAAAAAAATATATATTTATTTACTTGAAAGGCAGAGTGATAGAGAAGGAGAGACAGAGATCTTCCACCTGCTGGTTTGTTCCCCAAATGGCCACAACAGCTGGGGCTGGGCCAGGCGGGAGCCAGGAGCTCCATCTGGGTCTCCCATGTGGGTAGCAGGGGCCCAAGGATTTGGGCCATCTTCCACTGCTTTCCCAGGCCACAGCAGGGAGCTGGATGGGGAGTGGAGCAGCCCAGACTCTTAACTGGCACTCACACAGGATGCCAGCATTACAGGCAGTGGCTTAACCAGCTGTGCTGCACCACGATGCCAGCCCCCAAATACTGTTACCTGTGAACATGACTTTACTTGAAAACAGATGTAGGGGCCGGTGCTGTGGCGTAGTAGGTAAAGCTGCTGCCTGCAGTGCTGGCATGCCATATGGGCGCCGGTTCAAGTCCTGGCTGCTCCACTTTCAATCCAGCTCCCTGCTATGACCTTGGAAAGCAGCAGAAGATGGCCCAAGTGCTTGGGTTCCTGCACCCGTGTGGGAGACCCGGAAGAAGGTCCTAGCTCGGGGCTTCAGATTGGCTCAGCTCCAGCCATTGTGGCCAATTGGGGGGGTGAACCAGCAGATGGAAGATACCTCTCTCTGTCTCTCTCTGCCTCTCCTTCTCTCTCTGTAACTCTGACTTCCAAACAAATAAATCTTTAAAAAAAAAAATCTCACTTGGCCTTAACTAGGTCATGTGATCACATGTGGTTGCAAGTGAGGTTCCCTTAAAAAAAAAGAAAGAAAGAAAATAGATGTAACAAGTTAAAAGGTGATCACACTAGATTAGGGTTCTACTCTGGACAACGACCTAGGAAGAGGAAAACGCGGACTGAGACACGTGGGGGAACACCCTTGGAGACAGAAGCAGAGACCTGGGTGAGGCCCTCGCAGGCCAAGGAAGGCCAGGGACTGCCAGTCCCACCAGAAGCTGAGAGGCACAGCCCTGCTCCTCCCTGAGACCTGCAGGGCAGGCTTGCTGACGCCCGGATGTGCACTTCTGCCCCCAGAGCTGAGACTCAGCGCCCAGTGGGGAGGACTCCGCCGCAGCAGCCCAGGAAACCAGCCCTCTGCCCCTCCCGCACTGGGCCGGGACTGCATCGCTCCCTGCCAGCTCCAGCTCAGTGAGACGCAGGCTGCGGCAGCGAGCAGGAGCCAGCGTCAGCAGCATCCGCCTCCCTTCTCCAGGCAGACGCGGAGTCACACCATCCCCCACCCCGCTCCTGCCTGCAGGACCTTGGCTCTGCAGGCTCTCACTCCTCACTCACCCAGTGAACACTGGGGCACCCACTCTGTTCACTGCTTTCACGGGATGAAAATACACCAAGCCAGGCCCCCACTTTATCCACTAAGAAGTTTAAGTACGAATTCAGGTGTCCGGGGTGCATCGAAACCAGGGCCACTGAGCTGGCGCCTTCTCATCCCTCTGGCCACCTCTCGTCCAACCCACAGCACCCCCACCCCACAGTTCTGAGGGGGTAAAGCCTGTGCCTGCATTCGGCAGACCCTCCTTAATCTCTGGTTTGCCACCACCGTTCACTGTCCCCACAGGCCTGGCCCCCACGCCGGAGAAGAGCCAGACCAGGTCTGACACGGCGTCGGCTGACGGTAAGCCGCAGGGAGCCCACCTGATCGTCCAGCGCCCTGGAAGGCCCAAGCAAGCTCCACACACACAAGATTCAGTTTCCATGACAGCTTCTATCACTCGGCTGGAGAAGAAACTGTTAGAAACAGCTCTTAAAGGCGGAGTGCAAAAATGTAGCTTTTCTTTTAATGGAGGAATGAAATGCAAAAGAAAAAAGCATAATGTCTAAAGGAAAGAAACATCTGATTCTGTGCTGACAGAGCTACCAACATTTCGCACACACAGTCAAGAGCCCCGAATCTGCGGCTCCACCCTGAAACGACTGGGCAGAAGGTGTGCGGGTGCCCAATGATGCCAACTCAACGGTGAGGTCATGACACAAGCAGCAAAGCCCTCCCCTCCCGCAGCGAGGTCAGCTCTCGGGGCAAGACGGAACTCCGAGGGCACCTACAGGCGTGGAACCAGCAGAGGGGGCAGAGCAGGACAGCCGTTCCAGCCGGCGAAGACTGCGAGGAGCGGCCAGCAGGGCCTGGAACTCGAGTCCCCTCCCTGCTCGCTGCCTTCTCTCCTGTCAGGACTGAGTCCTGGACGGACTCGTCTGAGAGGGCTGCGTGCGATCCACTTCAGAACATAGTACAGGGAAACACGGCGGCCCTACAGCCATCTCCAAGACTCTCACTCCTGCAAATCACCAGCCCCAGCTACGACGTGTCTGCTAGCCCAGTCCTGGACGCCTTCTTCTTCAGTCCTAGAGAAACGCGGCGAAGCTCACTGGACACAGGCCACCTCTCTCCTCATTCTCCACCTCCAGGCCGTGGCCTCTGCCGCTCATCCCCCCAGCTCTCCGGACTCCACCCTTGGGCTTCTTCTCCATCTATACTCACTTCCTCCGTGAGAGCTTCCAAGAGCACACGCCTGCTAGCAGCGCACGTGCACTTCGTGCCGTCTGACAGCTGCATTCAAACAGCACAGGGCAGGGGCTTGGTCTAGCAGTTAAGAGGCCCACGCCCACGTCAGAGTGCTTGGGTTCGAGTACTGGCTCGACTGCAGGTCCAGCTTGAGCTGGGGGCAGCAGGCAACGGCTCGAGCAGTTGGGTCCCTGACACACACACGTCCTTGGCTTCCAGCTTCGACCTGGTCCAGCCCTGGTCACCACAGGTATCTGGGAAGTAAATCAGCCGGGGGAGCTCCTGGTTGCATTCTCTCTCTCTTCCTCCTCTCGAATAAATAACTTAAAAAGAGAAACAAGTGAAATTATTTTAGTATTTTTACTTAACCCAATATACCCAAAATAAAACCATTCCAAATAGAACCAAAGTGAAAGATTCTGTTTTTCCTACGGAACCTCTGGAGTCTGACCCGCATCAGCACACCGCCTCTCACTGCAGAGCGGCCACGTGCGAAGCTCAGAAGCCCATCCGTGGCTCGCGGCTACCGACCGCGCAGCACGACCCTCGCTGACGAATCCAGCCCGGGGTTTAAATGCCAGCACTCCAGACTTCCACCCCAGAATTCCGGGACTCCAATGTTAGCCTGCCAGTCAGCAGTGTCTCACTTACAGCAGGACAGAAGCCATCCCTGCCATGGCCTCCCCTACCTCAGTCAGTGGCCGCACCCAGCTCCCCGCACCCCTCCTCGCACCCCGCATGGCCTCCCCTACCTCAGTCAGTGGCCGCACCCAGCTCCCCGCACCCCTCCTCGCACCCCGCATGGCCTCCCCTACCTCAGTCAGTGGCCGCACCCAGCTCCCCTCACCCCTCCTCGCACCCCGCATGTCCTCCCCTACCTCAGTCAGTGGCCGCACCCAGCTCCCCGCACCCCTCCTCGCACCCCGCATGGCCTCCCCTACCTCAGTCAGTGGCCGCACCCAGCTCCCCGCACCCCTCCTCACACCCTGCATGGCCTCCCCTACCTCAGTCAGTGGCCGCACCCAGCTCCCCTCACCCCTCCTCGCACCCCGCATGTCCTCCCCTACCTCAGTGGCCGCACCCAGCTCCCTGCACCCCTCTTCGCACCCCGCATGGCCTCCCCTACCTCAGTCAGTGGCCGCACCCAGCTCCCCGCACCCCTGACGGCAGCCCTCGATTCTGCCCCATAATGCATCCGACACGGGATTTCACCTGCTGCTTCTTGCCCCACACGTCACACACTCTGTGCAGAGCCCGTCCCCGTCCACCCTCCTTCTGCTCTTTCTCCCCTCGCACTAATCCTCACCTGACGTCTAACAGCCGACACACACACTTGCTCACGTGCACCGTGAGTCTCGGCCCCAAGCTGCACCAGGAACAAGGCTGTGTGTGCTGGCCACAGTGGGCCCTGCCAGTCATGCTTCCAGAAACTGCTGCGGGCCTGCTGCCCGGCCGCCTGCAGCACGGGCAGCACGGCACACGTCCCTCAGGCCACCCCAGCAAGGGCTGCGCAGGACAGGACAGCCGCCCCACCTTCCGCCCTGCCGGGAAGGCACACTGTGGACTGAGGACTCCACCGCCTGGTCAAGACTTCCTTCGAGCTGCACTGACCTAACATGCTCCGGCCCCGCCCTCCCACAGCGGTCAGCTGCTCCCCACTGCAGTGCGGGTCTGTTTTATCCTACAGTTCTGGGGGCTCACAGCCCGCGATCAGGTGACCTCACTGGCTCAGGACCTGGTGAGACCGGAAGAAGGCAGAGAGAAGGGCGGGCCAGGAAGCACACGGGGCTTACATAACCAACCCTCTCAGGAGAACTGCCTTCTGAGGGCAAGTCGCCAGCAGCCCAAAGACCTCCCAGCACCAGAATCGGATCAAGGCTCCACTGCTAATCCCTTAACCGCTGGGGTTTAAACAAACCCCGTGCAAAGCACACCTTCCTTCCCTCCCACAGGCTCACGGAAGCGGGAGAGCGACTCCAGCGACTCCTCCTCCCCATGCACCCTTCCCCCGCAATTCCCTCTGAGAACCTCCTCTGGGAGACCCCTAGGAAGCACAGGGCAGTGAAAAGGGTGGGTTCTGCAATCCCTAAGGCCTGACCTCAGGGCACTGGGAAGTGAGGACAATTAACCCCTTTTCAAAGGGCTGTTAGGAAGCAGACATCAAATGCTTTACCCATGGTCCCTAACACAACACACAAGTAGAAACAGTTAAAACCAGTGTTAACTCATTTTTCTCCTGTTTATTTGAAAGGCGGGGAGGTGGGCAGAGATCTCTGCTCTGCCCTGGTTCGTTCCCCAGTGGTCACAACGACCTGAAGCCAAGACGCCCTCTGGGTCTCCAGCAGGCAGCAGGGCCCAGACACATTTGCGGGGCTGGATGGGAAGAACAGAGCAGCCAGGACTTGAACCTGCGCTCCAACATGGGATGCCGGCGCTAGGGGGCAGCTTAACCCCGGCGCCACAACTCCAGCCCTGCGTCTAAGAACCCTCAGCCTCCCACTTACATTCAGGCCACTCATGAAATAAAGCACAAGGAACCCTAGCAGATCCTCTGCTCAACTGAGCTCATCACGTGGTGAGCCTGCGCTTCCTTCACTTCAGAAAGTGAACGCTCATTAGGGACAGGCATCCTCGCACTCTGGAACAACCCTGCCCCTGAAGCAGGGACGGAAGCCTTCTGTCTGACAGGGGCCATTCGGATATTCCTAACATCGTTTGCAAGCCATAAAAAATCATCAACTTAGAAATTAGCCTGCTTGGGGACAGCACTGTGGGGCAGCAGGTAAAGCCGCTGCCTGCAGCGCTGGCATCCCATATAGGCACCAGTTCAGTCCCGGCTGCTCCACTTCCGATCCAGCTCCCTGCGGATGTGCCTGGGAAAGCAGTGGAGGACGGCCCACGCCCTTGGGCTCCTACACCCATGCGGGACACCACGAAGAAGCTCTTGGCTCCTGGTTTCAGATCGGCACAGCTCCCGCGTTTGTGGTCATTTGGGGAGTGAGCCAGCAGATGAAGACCTCTCTCTCTGTCTCCTTCTCTGTATACTCTGCCCTTCAAAGGAGTAAGTAAATCTTTAAAAACTAAATAAATGTGAGCCGGCGCTGCGGCTCACTAGGCTAATCCTCCGCCTTGTGGCGCCAGCACACCGAGTTCTAGTCCCAGTCGGGGCGCCGGATTCTGTCCCGGTTGCCCCTCTTCCAGGCCAGCTCTCTGCTGTGGCCCAGGAGTGCAGTGGAGGGTGGCCCAGGTGCTTGGGCCCTGCACCCCATGGGAGACCAGGAAAAGCACCTGGCTCCTGGCTTCAGATCAGCGCAGTGCGCCGGCCGCGGCAGCCATTGGAGGGTGAACCAACGGCAAAGGAAGACCTTTCTCTCTGTCTCTCTCACTGTCCACTCTGCCTGTCAAAAAAAAAATTAAAAATTAAAATTAAAATAAATAAATAAATAAATGTTTTACATAAATTATTGTGGAAACCAAAACATAAAATAAAAACTTTTTTTAAAAAAAGAATCTATTTGAAAGGCAGAGAAAAAGAGATATCTTCCATCTGCTGGTTCAGCCACAATGTCAGGGTTGGGCCAAGCCGAAGCCAGGAACACGGAACTCCGTCCAGGTCTTCTACGGGCATGGCGGGGCCCGAGGACTTGGGCATCCTCTGCTGCGTTCCCAGGTGCACTGGCAGGGAGCTGCATCCGAGGCAGAGCAGCCTGATCCTGAACAGCACCTTAACCCACTGTGCCACAATGCTGGTCCCAACTGAACCTTTTTTTTTTTTTTTTTTTTTTTTTTTTTTGACAGGCAGAGTGGACAGTGAGAGAGAGAGACAGAGAGAAAGGTCTTCCTTTACCGTTGGTTCACCCTCCAATGGCCACCGCGGCCGGCGCGCTGCGGCCGGCGCACCGCGCTGATCGCATGGCAGGATCCAGGAGCCAGGTGCTTTTCCTGGTCTCCCATGGGGTGCAGGGCCCAAGCACTTGGGCCATCCTCCACTGCACTCCCGGGCCACAGCGGAGAGCTGGACTGGAAGAGGGGCAACCGGGACAGAATCCGGCGCCCCAACCAGGACTAGAACCCGGTGTGCCGGCGCCGCTAGGCGGAGGATGAGCCTAGTGATGAACCTTTTTTTTTAAAGAATTATTTTTTATTTATTTGAAAGACAGAGTTACAGAGAAAGGTAGAACCAGACAGAGAGAGAGGTCTTCCATTCCACTGGTTCACTCCCCAAATGACCACAACAGCCAGGGTTGAGCTGATCCAAAGCCAGGAGCTGCTTCTGGGTCTCCCACATGGGTGCAGGGACCCAAGGACTTGGGCCATCTTCTACTGCTTTCCCAGGCCATAGCAGAGAGATGGATCGGAAGAGGAGCAGCCAGGATTCAAACCAATGCCCATGTAGGATGCCGGCGTTACAGGCTGGGGCTTTAGCCTGCTGCGCCACAGCAGGTTTAAAAAAAAAACCTATTGGGCCAGCGCCATGGCTCACTAGGCTAATCCTCCACCTGCAGCACCAACACCCCAGGTTCTAGTCCCGGTTGGGGCGCCAGATTCTGTCCCGGTTGCCCCTCTTCCAGTCCAGCTCTCTGCTGTGGCCCAGGAGGGCAGCAGAGGATGGCCCAGGTCCTTGGGCCCTGCACCCGCATGGGAGACCAGGAGAAGCACCTGGCTCCTGGCTTCGGATCGACGCAGCACCGGCCACAGCAGCCATTTGGGGAGTGAACCAATGGAAAGAAGACCTTTCTCTCTGTCTCTCTCTCTCACTGTCTATAACTCTGTCAAATAGGGGAAAAAAAAAAAACTAATAGAGATTCACACAAAGCTAGTATGTTGCCTTGGAAAACTCCATAATGGATTGAGAATGCTTCAGATTTTAAGGGAAAAAGGCCACTGCAAACTGGCATTGAGTTGCAGTTTTAGGTTCTGTCTTTTTTTTTGTTTTGTTTTTAACTTGAAGCTTTAGGGCAAGGATGGGACCATCTGGCCTGCAGAGGCTGTGTAAGGCCCTCAGAATGACTTGGTCTGGATCTGCCAAGGCAGCCACAGGTGGGACCCGAAATTCAGTAAATCTAAAGCAAGCTATTTTTTTAAATGTATTTATTTGCTTATTTGAAAGGCAGAGATACAGAGAGGCAGAGGAAGAGGCACAGAGAGGTCTTCCATCCGCTGGCTTACTCCCCAAATGGCCACAAACGGCCGGAGCTGGGGCAGTCCAATGCCAGGAGCTGCCTCCAGGTCTCCCACGTGGGTGCAGGGGCCCAAGGACCTGGGCATCTTCCGCTGCTTTCTGAGAAGGTTAGCAGGGAGCTGGATAGGAAGTGGAGCAGCCGGACTCAACCCAGCGCCCATCTGGGATGCTGACGTCATAGGCAGCAGCTTTTTACCGGCTACACCACAACGCCATTCCCAAAAGACTTTTTAAAAATCTCCACATGGATAAACGAAATTGTTAGCAGTAACCACAGGAGACAGGACGGGGAGCAGAGGATGAGCAGTTCTCACTTTGTGTCTACTGACAAAGTCCTTACCAAAGCAGCTACACACTTGCAGGACCCACAAGAGACTGGTGATGTGGGCTCCCGTGACGCCTCGCGGGACCCACAAGAGACCGGTGATGTGGGCTCCCATGACGCCTCGTGGGACCCACAAGAGACCGGTGATGTGGGCTCCCATGACGCCTCGCGGCACCCACAAGAGACTGGTGATGTGGGCTCCCATGACGCCTTGCGGGACCCACAAGAGACCGGTGATGTGGGCTCCCATGACGCCTTGCGGGACCCACAAGAGAGACTGGTGATGTGGGCTCCCATGACGCCTTGCGGGACCCACAAGAGAGACTGGTGATGTGGGCTCCCGTGACGCCTTGCGGGACCCACAAGAGACTGGTGATGTGGGCTCCCGTGACGCCTTGCGGGACCCACAAGAGAGACTGGTGATGTGGGCTCCCGTGACACCTTGCGGCACCCACAAGAGAGACTGGTGATGTGGGCTCCCATGACGCCTCGCGGGACCCACAAGAGACTGGTGATGTGGGCTCCCATGACGCCTCACGGGACCCACAAGAGACCGGTGATGTGGGCTCCCGTGACGCCTCACGGGACCCACAAGAGAGACTGGTGATGTGGGCTCCCATGACGCCTCGCGGGACCCACAAGAGACTGGTGATGTGGGCTCCCATGACGCCTCACGGGACCCACAAGAGACTGGTGATGTGGGCTCCCGTGACGCCTTGCGGGACCCACAAGAGAGACTGGTGATGTGGGCTCCCGTGACACCTTGCGGCACCCACAAGAGAGACTGGTGATGTGGGCTCCCATGACGCCTCGCGGGACCCACAAGAGACTGGTGATGTGGGCTCCCATGACGCCTCACGGGACCCACAAGAGACCGGTGATGTGGCTCCCGTGACGCCTCACGGGACCCACAAGAGAGACTGGTGATGTGGGCTCCCATGACGCCTCGCGGGACCCACAAGAGACTGGTGATGTGGGCTCCCATGACGCCTCACGGGACCCACAAGAGACTGGTGATGTGGGCTCCCGTGACGCCTTGCGGGACCCACAAGAGAGACTGGTGATGTGGGCTCCCGTGACACCTTGCGGCACCCACAAGAGAGACCGGTGATGTGGGCTCCCATGACGCCTCGCGGGACCCACAAGAGACTGGTGATGTGGGCTCCCATGACGCCTCACGGGACCCACAAGAGACTGGTGATGTGGGCTCCCGTGACGCCTTGCGGGACCCACAAGAGAGACTGGTGATGTGGGCTCCCGTGACACCTTGCGGCACCCACAAGAGAGACCGGTGATGTGGGCTCCCATGACGCCTCACGGGACCCACAAGAGAGACTGGTGATGTGGGCTCCCATGACGCCTCACGGGACCCACAAGAGAGACTGGTGATGTGGGCTCCCGTGACGCCTCACGGGACCCACAAGAGACCGGTGATGTGGGCTCCCGTGACGCCTCGTGGGACCCACAAGAGACTGGTGATGTGGGCTCCCATGACGCCTCACGGGACCCACAAGAGACTGGTGATGTGGGCTCCCATGACGCCTCGCGGGACCCACAAGAGACTGGTGATGTGGGCTCCCATGACGCCTTGCGGGACCCACAAGAGACTGGTGATGTGGGCTCCCATGACGCCTTGCGGGACCCACAAGAGACTGGTGATGTGGGCTCCCATGACGCCTTGCGGGACCCACAAGAGACTGGTGATGTGGGCTCCCATGACGCCTTGCGGGACCCACAAGAGACTGGTGATGTGGGCTCCCATGACGCCTTGCGGGACCCACAAGAGACTGGTGATGTGGGCTCCCATGACGCCTCACGGGACCCACAAGAGAGACTGGTGATGTGGGCTCCCAGTGACGCCTCACGGGACCCACAAGAGAGACTGGTGATGTGGGCTCCCGTGACGCCTCGCGGGACCCACAAGAGAGACTGGTGATGTGGGCTCCCATGACGCCTCGCGGGACCCACAAGAGACTGGTGATGTGGGCTCCCATGACGCCGGTGCAAGAACAGCACGACTCTAACTCCAGATCATCAAGTCCAGCGCAGGCGGTAGCTGGTACAGGGTTTGGCACAGGGGTTAAGCTGCCACTTGGGACACCGGCGTGCCTGGCTCAAGTCCCAGCTGCTCCACTTCCGACCCAGCGCCCTGCTAATGCACAGACGCTGGAGTACCCGACGGAGCTCCAGACTGCCGGCTCCAGCCTGGCCCACCTGGCCGCTGCAGCCACTGGAGTGAACCGGCATCAAACATCTTTCCAGGTCTGCCTTTCAAATAAATAAATAAATCTTTTTAGAAAGACTTATTTATTTGAAAGGCAGCTTTACCCATTACACCACAATCTGGCCCAAGTGTTGACACTTCTGAACCACGGAGCAGGAGGCCCAGACCTGTCATGAAGCTGCCACAGAAAGCACTCCAACACACACAGCTCAGGACACGAGAACACTGTCTACCACGACTCAATTTCTAAACACAGAGGTGTGCTCAGGTACGTTTAAAATTAATGGTTTTTCCAAGTAGCATGAGCACAAGATGAGAAGACAAAGGAGACATTTATACTTTACTGCATTTTAAATTTTTTTTTTTTTTTTTTTTTTTTGACAGGCAGAGTGGAGAGAGAGAGACAGAGAGAAAGGTCTTCCTTTCCGTTGGTTCACCCTCCAATGGCCGCTGTGGCCGGCGCACCGCACTGATCCGATGGCAGGAGCCAGGTGCTTCTCCTGGTCTCCCATGGGGTGCAGGGCCCAAGTACTCGGGCCATCCTCCACTGCCCTTCCGGGCCACAGCAGAGAGCTGGCCTGGAAGAGGGGCAACCGGGACAGGATCTGGCACCTGACCAGGACTAGAACCCGGGATGCCAGCACTACAGGTGGAAGATTAGCCTAGTGAGCCGTGGCACCGGCCTGCATTTTTAGATTTAACAAGTACATTTGTAAAAACTGGCTTTATAATAGCCACTTACATTTAAACTGTTTCTGGTAAACCACACAAAACATACTCTAACAGATTTAACTTTAAAGCTTCTAAAAACAATAAACTCCTTCAGAGAGCACTATCAGTAGTATTAACAAAGATACAATCAGTACTCACCAACAAAGCTAACTAAAGAAAGCAATGGCAAGCAACCACCACCAGAAACAAATAAATAACAATAAGGTTAAAATGTGTATATTCGGTGATGGTGCTATGGCACGGCAGGTTAAAGTCCCAGCCTGTAGCACCGGCATACCATACGGCACCAGTTCAAGTCCTGGTTGCCCCTCTTCCAGTCCAGCTCTCTGCTGTGGCCCGGGAGGGCAGTGGAGGATGGCTCAAGTCCTTGGGCCCCTGCACCCACGTGGGAGACCCGGAAGAAGCGCCTGTTCCTGGCTTCAGATCGGCACAGCTCTGGCCATTGTGGTCATTTGGGGAGTGAACCAGCGGAATGGAAGATACCTTTCTCTCTCTCTCTCTCTTTCAAATAAATAAAACAAAGCTTTTAAAAGAAAAAAGAAATGTGTGTATTCAATTTCAACCTTCTGTCCATTAAAATAGAAAATACCGGCCGGCGCCGCGGCTCACTAGGCTAATCCTCCGCCTAGCGGCGCCGGCACACCGGGTTCTAGACCCAGTCGGGGCGCCGGATTCTGTCCCAGTTGCCCCTCTTCCAGGCCAGCTCTCTGCTGTGGCCAGGGAGTGCAGTGGAGGATGGCCCAGGTGCTTGGGCCCTGCACCCCATGGGAGACCAGGAAAAGCACCTGGCTCCTGGCTCCTGCCATCGGATCAGCGCGGTGCGCCGGCCACAGCACGCTGGCCGCGGCGGCCATTGGAGGGTGAACCAACGGCAAAAGGAAGACCTTTCTCTCTGTCTCTCTCTCTGTCCACTCTGCCTGTCAAAAATAAAAAAAAAAAAAATAGAAAATACCAACAAGGAGAAAAATGTCCACCAGACACCCAAGAAAAAGCTAGAAACTGAAGAAAAAAAGTAAGGGCGTTGCATGAACTTCCAATCTCCAGGATTCTGAAATGATATGTACAGGCTGTTGAGACTCCAAAGGTGCTCTGGAAAATGTAACTGAGCTAGAAACAAATTCCTGGCTGAAAGGGAAGGCGAATCCCTCCTTCTAAACATTCCAAACCCCAAGTATTGAGAGAATAATCACATTTTAAAAACCCGAAAGAGCATCGCGGCGCGTTCCCACACACACAGGCACGTTCACAAGGACTTCTGCATTACCTATCTTCTGCCACAATGCCTTTTATTTCTAATCCAGATACCAGCAGTAGTAACAGGTTCATCCACTGGAATAGTCCAATTACGCCCAAACCTTTGGGCCAAATTTTAGGAGATTTATCAGGAATATATGCATTTCCAATGATTAAAAAGCTCAATCATAAATATCATCAACAGAAGTCCAACAGTCATCAATGGTATGTTAGCCAATGTAGGGAATTCCAAATTATTTTTTTGAAGATTTATTTACTCATTTATTTGAAAGTCAGAGTTACACAGAGAGAGGAGAGGCAGAGAGAGAGAGAGAGAGAGAGAGAGGTCTTCCATCCGATGGTTCACTCCCCAACTGGCCACAACAGCCAGAGCTGTGCTGATCCGAAGCCAGGAGGTTCTTCCGGGTCCCACGCGGGTGCAGGGGCCCCAGGACTTGGGCCATCTTCTACTGCTTTCCTAGGCCATAGCGGAGAGCGGGATTGGAAGAGGAGCCGCCAGGTCTCAAACCAGCACCCACATGGGATGCCGGCACTTCAGGCTAGGGCGTTAACCCGCTGTGCCACAGCGCCGGCCCCCCAAGTTATCTTAGAACCAAAAGTTTGAGCAAATGTGTCCAGTCTGAGGTCCTATCCAATCAGTGGTGCCTATAAATTTAAATATCATAACTACTTGATAAAAAGGATAAAAGCTGCTGATTTTCATCACCTCAATCTTCCCTGGAGGATGGACCACTCTGAACTCCCAGGTCTGCTCCCCATCCAAGCCGGGCCAAGAGGGTGGCAGAACCTCAACGCCAGCCAGACCACAACTGGGGGTTCTAACTACAAGACGGAGGACTACAGTGAAGACATTTGCTCTGCGGAAAAGTAACGGAAAATCCGACAATTTCAGGTTCTCACTGACTTTAACCACACGCAAAAGTCCCGTTCACTTACGGGTGGGCCTGCGTGACTCCGGCATCACTCAGCGCCTGTCTGTGCAGAAGCCCTGTCCGACCCCCGGGGAGCCTGAGTGCAGCACATCCTCTCCTTCACGCACCCAGGACTTCCCCCGCAGGCACCGTCGTGACAGCAGCACTCACAGATCAACCAAGGGCCCCCACTCGTGTTCTTACCTGCCCACGTGGCGGCCAGAAGCCGGCCCTGACGGAGCACCTACACAAGGAGCCCGTGAAACCAGACCGCAAAGTGATCCGAGCCAACCCCGGGCACTGCGCAAGAGAGAACCACGGAGACGCCAGCACAGAGGGCAGGTGCTGCTCCTTCCTCACGGGAGCCCACCACCCAGCGAGGACCGCCATGAGAGGGTCGCACAGACCGAACCCGGGCGCGCAGGGACAGGCGGGCACGGTGCAGGCCGTCCTGCCCTCGGGACGGAGCAGCTGAGCCGAGCCTTCACACGCAGGCAGGCAGGCAAGGTGGAAAGGGCACTCCAGGGGAGACCAAGCACCAAGGTCCCGGCTGGAGCTCAGCGTGGCAGGCAGAGACACAGTGAGGACGGAACCAGAAGCCAGAACGAGGCCAGAGGGCAAAGGTCACCTCAGAGTCTAAACTGGGGGGGAGGGCAGAGAGGCCGCAAGGTCAAAGTCTGCAGGGGCAGCCCGTGCCCTCCCTCGGCTGAGACCCTCCCTCTGACGCACGCTGCCCGGGGCGGGAGCACAGCACCATGTGGCTTCCATGTTAAGGAGCTCTGGCAGCAGAACCAGCAACAACGTAAGGAATGGTGACAGAGCTGCACGCGGGGCAGGGGAGGCACAGCCTGAGCAGGCAGACCTGGTCCAATCCAGCTGTCAAGAACGAAGCCTCTAGGGGCCCGCGCTGCCACAGAGCCGGTTAAGCTGCTGCCCGTGGCAATGGCATCCCAAATGGGCGCCGGTTCGTGGCCTGGCTGCTCCCTGCTAATGTCCTGGGAAGGCAGACGAGGCTGGCCCAAGTGTCTGGGCCCCCGTCACCCACAATGGAGACCCAGATGAAGCTCCTTTCTGGCTTTGGCCTGGCCCAGCCCTGGGGCCATCTGGCGAGTGAACAAGCAGATGGAAGATCTCTAACTCTAGCCGGCGCCGTGGCTCAACAGGCTAATCCTCCACCTTGCGGCGCCGGCACACCGGGTTCTAGTCCCGGTTGCCCCTCTTCCAGGCCAGCTCTCTGCTATGGCCAGGGAGTGCAGTGGAGGATGGCCCAGGTGCTTGGGCCCTGCACCCCATGGGAGACCAGGAGAAGCTCCTGGCTCCTGGCTCCTGCCATCGGATCAGCGCGGTGCGCCGGCTGCAGCGGCGGCCATTGGAGGGTGATCCAACGGCAAAGGAAGACCTTTCTCTCTCTGTCTCTCTCTCTCACTGTCCACTCTGCCTGTCAAAAAATAAAAAAATAATAATAATAAAATAAAAGAAGATCTCTAACTCTGACCTCCAAAATAAATCTTTACAGAGAGAGGGAGCCGCCTAAGTCTCTAAAGGTTTCCCGTCTGGGCTGCAGCAGGACGTGCGCGCTGCGGACAGGAGCTCCAGCGCTGCGGACAGGAGCTCCACTGCGCCACCTCCAGAGGGCGCTGCAGCACACAACACGGCCGTGGAAGGTGGCACACAGAGCACGGGCCGTGGAGGGCACACAGAGCACG